CATCCGGGATGATGCACTTCTAGTTACCAGCAGCTAAGTATCATTACACACCAAATTCCAGTGACTCCACTCGGATATTTTACAGTCACGAATCACATATCAACTGCAGACTAAGTAGGTGGTGTGTAATACAAGGAATTCTACTATATTTGCATGAAGACTTTCCTATGGATGGCAAGAGGTCCATATATGGCAAATACTTAATATAAATGATTTATTGCTTAGATACTATGTAATGCAGCACTTGAAAGCACTCGACATCACAACAAATCATAAAATCAAAACATGTCACTTTGTGAGACGCTGTTGTCGAGAATTTGATAATTAACTGTGTATCGCAATGCAAAAGAATAAATGCAAATTAAAGTAAATTGTTCCACCCCTTGTGCTAGTGGTGATCATTAACAACTGGACCAAAGCAAACAACAGACCCACTTTCTATACATTGGCTGAACATTTAACAATTTGGTGAAGAGGGGCGGACACCCCCCATCGTGCTCCTGAATTTACTGAAAAGAATTAGCCAAAGTGCTGAGAAACATTTCTAATGAATGACCTCATAGCATGGTTGTGAATGGACTAAGCTGCTCCTAAAGACAGTTGATCACCGAAAGAGGTCAGTGAGCTAGCCTATATAAAGTTAACACCGCTTGAACATTAAGACTACAATTTTCAGGGTTTTATATTTGATCAAATCCCTGAAAGCCCAGTGGCAGTCTTTTCAGCAGAGGCAATCTTTTCAGCAAAGACAGGAGGACTGCAACTATCAAGACGTGTCACAGGGCAACTCTTAAGGGGATGACTAAAGGCCTGCCAGGTTCACACAGCTAAAAGCCGCTAACATTCGTGGGATGTGTTTGCTCCAAGTGATTTAGTTCAGGAATCGACATGGATGTTAAGGAAGGGAGGGTGATGTAATCCATTCTGGTCCCAATACCATGGCAAGAGCTGCAAATTGGCTACAGCAAAGGCAAAGGTAATAAAGTCACCATGCTTGAAGGAAACACGATCTTAAGCAGCATGCAATCTCCTGAAAATATTGACAATAAAAGCAGTGGCAAGGTTTACAGGTACATCACCGTGTATCCCACAGTCACGTTCATGGCTTTGTATCCAGATAATGAAAATTATTGAAAATGTCCATTAAGTACATATAAGTCCAGGAGGAAGTCAAAGGTAAGTTACACAGCAATGTACAACCCTCTATCAAGGAAAAAAATCATTAGCACTGTGATTTTGTCAAGAAAAAAGGCGATTCGCCAAGGATTCATGCACAAAGTGTGAACCAGATTCTTTCTAATCCACAATAATTGAAGTTTCTTATACAGCCAACTGTGAGAAGGGCAGCCAATATGGCAGAAATTGTAAATAATACCCAGCAAGCTGTTTGCACAACAGTAGAGCAGTTGCCTCACAACTGAAAGTTGCAGTTTTATGGCTGAGGATTAAAATGGTTCCAAACCACCTACCTCAGCTTTATACCAAGTTTCTGGCTGAAGGTCTGAACATGAATCGCCACATCACCAGAGGAGAATTTCCTCTATTTAAGGATAGTAACTGTTACTATTTTTATAATGGAATCTCCTACTGCCATATAGCACATATTGAGGTATTGGTGAAATAAAGGAAACAGTGCAAATATTTTACATGACTGTTTGTGGGACAGTGCTGTGCACAATTGGCTGCCGTGTTTCGCTCACAAAATATAGTCAATTCACTTTACAGTATATTCTGTGACACGCTTTAAGACATCTCAACGAGGTGATAAGATGTTATATCAAATGCAAGGATTATTATTATTTTCCACAGTACAGGTTTAGTGCAAGAGGTTTTCCTAGCTATTTGGTCTATTCTATGTCCATTTCATCTCTCTTGAGCTGCAGGTACTACGGTGTTGTGATATTGGATGTACAACATTGATAGGAGCTGTGGAAATGCCCATATCGCAGGAAGACAACATTGGTTTCAAACTTCCTTGGGAGTTTGTTCCATTCTGCTTGCACATCCACACAGTACATAGTGCTAGCTCTTGTCTAATGCTGTTAAAAATCTCCCAATCATTTGAAATGGCAAATGTAGCTCATTTTTAAATGCAAGCTAAACTGACATTTAATGTTTTATTCTTTTCAATTAAACTCAGTTGAAGTAGTCATAATATAAAGTGGTCTTAGCCACAACTCCATGGTGGAGCACAATACTGCACTGTAAACTAAGGGTTTTATATTCAGAAACCCAATATGCATCATTCATGGAAGAGGCAAACCTATTCATTGAGATATTAGACGGCATTTCGTGAGGTTCACACAAATAAGAATTGTTGTTTAGCAAAATAACAATGTTACAATGCATTTTGTATTGTACATTTTCCATATGAGGAAGAGAAATGCACTGTTTGATTCTTCATAAACCATTCTGATATTTGTAATTGTTGCAGAGGCTCAAGGTTAAAACCTTGCCACTGTTTCATTTAAAACATCTGCAAGAACATCTATTACTACTGTGTTAATTCAACAAAGGATTAAAAAGCAAAATGTAGATTTAAGTATTCTAAACAAAGGAACTGAATTAAAAGAGAAGGTGGAGGGGAAAGAGTCCAGTGGTTTAGTACTTCCACCCCCATTTCCACGGTTTTCGAGCCTTTCAACAAACGGATTATTGTGCGGAATGATTATAGAGAAGCTAAAGCCATCAATCACAAATAATCCTACTCTGTGCTAACAGAGCAGTTTCACAATCTGAAGTCAAAAAGAATGGTTAAATTAAGTAGATTTTTTCCCAAATGTAAAACTTATAGTCTTAAAAGTTGAATTTGGGCTGCAACAACATAGGAGCAGGGCCTATCGCAATCATTGTGTAATCTAGCATTTATACACTTTTTGCCTTGTGTTCCGCTCTCCAGCTTCTTCATCTTATTATCCTGCATCAGAAACCAAATTCCATCACATTGCAAGGCAGATCAAGGTTAAAAGTTACAGTAGTACTTATGACCAGACATGACTGCAGCTTGCAAACTGGCTTAACTGTATTCACATTTCTAATAGAATGCAATTCATCTTGTTTGACAAACTAGGTCAAGACAATGACTGTTTCGAAATGTCCTCGCTACACCCACACAGAGACTGGAGCAGCTGTTGACATAGTCTGCAGATAAAGGACTGATAGATGGCTGTGTTTTTTTTCCTCATCCCTTTTCATCCATCACTGCTAATTGATGGAGAAAGACGAAATAATTTAGTCACTTACATTCAGACAGATACCCAAATTTAATGAAATTTATTCTGGATGAGAACCTGATCCTGATCGATATCACAAGCTGAAAGACGACTTCGCACAACAGTGGGCGTTCTTCTGTACTGGCACAATGCTTCTACTTAGACAGGTGTACACCTGTCGATTCATTGGCCAGCCGATGTGAATTGCAAACATTAAAATTTGGGACACATTTCCCAAAACTGGAGCCTTTGATAGCACAGAATGCCAGAATCGTTTTCCCCTCAAATATTGGTTAATAATAATAATCCTTGCATTTGTCTTTGTGTTCAGTTAAGATAAACTCCTATTAATATCAAGTGTATCAATCATTTTTAGAAGAGAAAGTCAACATGCTGAGCTCCACCACACGTGGGATGTTTTAGAATCCCCGAGAAAGAGAATGCCCTTCAATGTACAAGGCACCTGAGTGTTAAACAGCACTGGCGATTGTATGCCAGCTTTCAAATGAGACGGTAACTCAAGCTTCACATCTCCTATGGTTGGTAATGATTTTCATTCATTCTCAAGCAGATTAATATCACACCCCAAGAACAGGGACAGAATAGATCCCCTAATACATGTTGGATCCAATCTGTCTTTTCTTTCCTCCCCTCCCCACCATCCATTTGATATAGGAGAATAGATTGAACAACGCCTTGCTTTTGAGAGGGGGTGGGGTTGCAGTGCTTAAACACTACAGAGCAGGAGAATAGACAGTCAGCTTGCTGCATGGTAACTGCTCTTTTTTGTATAAGCCGATCAGAGAGCAGCAAAGACAGTCTTCTGTTCAACCTCAAGCCAGATTCCAGGATCTTTTGACTGCACGTTTACCTACAAATACACAATCACTGCTCCTCACAGTAAAATTCTGTGAAGTGCTTTGAAACATCTCAGAATAAGGCACTATATCAAATGCAAGGATTATTATTATTATAATAAAGTTCCTAAGTGTGTTTAAATAAACAAGCTTAATGTAAACATGTAAAACAAATAATTTTAGGCAACAGTCATTTGCAAGTTAATGTTAACTGCAAAGTGATGTGATTTATATGCACTCCTGATTCCCCACACAATAAGTTCCTGAACTCTAAGCCATAAAAAAGATGAGTGATGTAAGATATTTTATATATCAGGATCTGATATCCATAGGCTTTATTTTATTTACAAAACATCCTCTTACAGTGTAACCAATAAATGGCAGTTAAACACTAAAGTGGGGATTACATACGTAGATCTGTAACAGAAGCAGTTTTATGTCATATTAATTTTTATCAAAGTGGGGATTACAGCACTAGATCTCTTCATCCATACAAAAATGTCTAAAACTAAATTCTAAGCATCTTTCCACATATACACTCAAGGAACACTGTTCACCAGATTCCAACTACTAGTGGAATTCTTAATTGCTGGTAAACATTGACAAGATGGAAAGTCAAACCTTTCAAACACCAACATCTGAACGGTAATTCAAAGGGCCGCCAGAATTTAAACAATGCAAACTCACTATATTGGTGGGGCTTTGCACCAGCTACTTTTATAATGCACGTCTAGGACATTGTCAATCAACTTGACAACACCTTTGTCCAAAAACTGGCTTCGATGCAACATTTGTGCAAAGCAGTTTCTGTGAGAGATTTTCAGCTGAAGGACAGCACCATTACCACTGGACAAAGGCGCTACAACTTTAGTAAAGGTTTAGTCTCACTTTGAACAATTAATTGTAGAATAGGACACTTTATTTCCTTTACCTCATTATCAGTGCCAACATCAAGCATCACCGGCAGACACTGCTGGGGGTTGACTCCACCGCACGCTGTGTAAAGGGCTAGCTTACCCACTGGAATACCCATGCCATAACTGCCAAGATCACCAAGGCCCAGAATGCGCTCTCCATCAGTTACCACAATGGCCTACAAAAAAGCAAAGTTAGAAACCATAGTAGCAGCACATTAAAAACAATTCAGTGCATCATGTACCAGAAGCAAATACACAATCACTACACTTTACATTAACAACAAAATTATATTTGTATAGCTCCTTTCACGTCAGGAGGACGTCCCAAGGCGCTTTACAATAAATCCTGTGAGGCATTTTGAGATGTCTCAATGACGTGATAAGGGATTATATCAAATATAATGTATATTATTACTATCTGTGTCACGGTTCACCTCAAAGTAAGGAGAAAAAGAAACAATTGGGGAATGAGGAAGAAAAAATTCTATGAATAAATACCAACTTTGGGATATTAATTAAACACCCTGATAAACATTTGGACTTGGTACAAATGCACAAAACTCCAATGCCAAAACAATTAACCCCTTATTTCAAAGTGCATCATTTCAAGTTACACGAACACTAAGATGTTAATACCTTTAAGTATATTGAAATAAAATCTCAGATTGTAAAGTTAGTTTATGATACAAATTTAACTTTCAGGGTTTTTTTCCTGCAAATAAATAGGTCAAATTATTTTCTCTTGCTTCTCTTGAAGCATGTTTACATTTGAAAGAAATGGTTCAATTTACTTAAATATATCATCCTAGTGTTCGAAAGGATATATAGTAAAACTCGCAGAATTCTTATCTGTATAAATCGTATCAGACATTCACCTGAGTCCCATTCACTTCCCTATTAAAACCACTTAGATTTCTTTGCTTTTTTTTGTAGGCCATTGCTCATATTTGTCACTTCCTAACTCGTAACTCTGCTCCCATACCCTCCATTACTCCCGCACACACCGGCTGCATCGAATCATGCATTAGCAATGTAGATTAGTGATTAATCTACAATTTATACAGTTTGCATGCAACTTGGACTTTGTGCGTTTTACTTTACAATCACTCAAAGTGTAATGTAAGTATGTATTTTAAAATAAACAGTTATAATAGGTTTGACATTGGATTCTTGTGCATTTGTAAAATCATAATGTTTGTTATCAGAATATTTAATCAACTTTTATGGCCCAAATTATTTATTCATTTCCTTTCTAATCCTCCCCATCCCCAAATTTCTCTCCTACTACCCTGGAAATACTGACACTTCTGACACTCAGAGCCCTCTGATCCCTCATTCTTCATGTGTGAACCAAGGCATAACATGTCATCAAGTTCCAACCATAACCAAATCTAATCCTTTCATCATTTGGCATTCACACATGTAGTTTCCAGCAGATACTGGATACAATTGGGAGTTGGAAACCTGATTGATTTGAACATTTTCTGGTCCAGGGGACATAAATTCTTCTATTAGCATCCTGAATGAGCCAAGCTAACTCATAAACCAGGAATCAATCCAGAGACCTTCCTGCTGCATACACCTCAGTGGGAATGCAGTTACTTTCAGAATCATAAGTCATATTCAGGACTTTACTTAGCCAAATGTTAAATTCATGATATTATATTGTTAGTAATAGCAAACTGCTTTCGGAGGTATCTATATTTATTTTTTCCAGTTCCTTTATATCAAAAAGTCACGTTTTAACTCAATTCATACAGTGTCAAAAGCTGAGGGAACCGGTAATTTACTCCATTTCAAAATTGTTTCCAGGGTAATCCAAGCATGATATGAACATGTCTGCAGATCAGTCTGCAGTATATAGGTCCAGAAATGAAGTATGTTTTACTTTTGCAGCTGTATACCAACCACATGGATAGCTATCAATGATATTCCTACAGTGCTAAAGATAAATTTGATGTTACTCTAATTTTGGAAGTGAATACAATAAGAGCCATATTTGGGAGGAAAAAAGTTGGGTTTATCATGAACAAAGCTTAAAGACTACATAAAATTGCATTGTTTGTTCCCCCATATCTAAGAACAGTTTTCTAATTGCCAATTATTCTTTTCCCATCAATTAAACAGTTTCACAGATGTGGATGCAACAATACATAGGAGCTGTTATGTACATTAAAACAGAGCTGAGACTTTAAGTTTTCCCCAAGGGAATAGAGGTAAATGAGAAGGAAGGCAATCATGAACCTTCCTCATATGTCTATCAGGACTTGGTAGAGAGCAATATTGACTTGAAAGCAGTTAACCTCAGATGAGCAATAGCCCTTGGAGACAAAGGACAAAGGGGAAGCGGAATGGAAAGTTCAATGCTCTAAACTGATGACAAAGAAGATTTCAAAAATATAATTATGAACATACATTGAAACACAACACATTCAGTACATATTGCAATTCAAAGAAACATACCCGAATATCTGTTTCAGGCCAGCACTTCAACAGTGTAGCAATGTGTCCTCGGTCATGGATTGTAATAAACAGACCTCTAAAATAGAACAAAATTGATTTCATTTAAAACATACACCACTAATAATACCACAATTTAAGACTTCCAATGCAGGTACATTGTCCTAATTAAATTAAGATATTTATATATATACAGATAATACAGACACCTGGATTGAACACTACATCAAAGTAAAACATAGATGGAGAGTTGACAAATTGAAGTAGGGAAGACTTGACATACAATATAAAATGATATTTATATAGCGCTTTTCACGTCGGGATGACGTCCCTATGCGATGGACAGTCAGAGATTTGGACCCAAGCGGGGGGGTCGGGATCGGGGGTGGGGTGGAGGGCAGGAGAGTGGCCGAAGGTATGGTCGAAGAGAAGGTTTTTGAGAAGCACCTTGAAGGAGGCAAGGAAGGGAGCGAGGTGAAGGACATGTGGGATGGATTTCCAAAGGGTGGGGACAGAAAAGCTGAAGGACTGACTGCTGGAGCCTGCTGAGCGGAGAGGTTGATAAGGGATCGGCAGGCCGTAGAAGTAGGAAGAAACAAGGCTGTGGAGGGCCTTGGAAGGCGAGGACGAGGATATTGAATTCTATCATCTGGGGAATGAGGAGCCAGTGGAGCTGGGCAAGGGAGATGAGTTGAAGAATTATCTGCCACCAGTGACTGATTTGCCCTTCCAAGTCCTGCCTGTCATCAGCAGCTCCCTGGATTTTGGAAGACCCACCTGGCGGTGTAGGTGGCGTGCATGGATCTTATTTGGTTTGGAACTCGACTATCAAGACCCCCCACAGAGGCTTGGCTCGATTCCAACACTGCACTGGCAAACATGTCACCTTGGAGCCAGTCCAGTTCTTGGGCCAGGCTCTAAGGCAATGCTGTTGACAGACCCTCCAGCCCTGGCTCATTGGCAGGAGTTGGAAGGACAGACTACTGGGGGCAGGAAAACTTCTCATTTGTCTCCTGTTGATCCTGGAAACCAAAGTCTCAAGAGATAGGGTTGGCCGAGTGGACAAGCAGTAGGAAGCCTGCCAGACATTGCTCTCAATAGCAAGTTCTGCAATTTTAGCTGATTGAGCTCCAGCAGTACATAAATGCACACTCTGGGGTTCCCAAGCCTTAGCGTTTACCAACTTGCACCCAATATTCTCCAGAATAAGGTAAGAAAGATGCATCCCTCCAGGTAGAAAATGCACATTCCAGACACAGGAAACTCCCATTCATATGTAGCATGCATATGTGGTACTCTGTTTGGTATAAATGCTCCTACATATGGTGATATGTTTCCTTCTGTGTCAAATATCAAGCTGTCCAACATAAAAACAGGAGCAAGCAGGCAATCTCAACAGGTTACATCTTTTGTATTTTGAGACTGTTTGATACTAAAAAAAAGATAATTAAATCAGAGCAAGGCATATCAAATAGTGCCAAAACATCTAGTTGCCTTGTGCCAGATATAGCAAACTAAAACCATTCATTAAAATGTCCCTCCTATGTATTCAATCCATACTAGTGTCTGGTGCTTGTTTGATAGATATGCAAGTGTTGACTAGACACATGGAGCTCTGCCAAGGCAATATACACAGTGCTTAGCAGCGCTGGGACCATGCAGCCATTAATTCATAGTCAAATAAACATTATTTTATACATTGATAGATTAATACTTGTACGCTGTAATAGATTTGTTGTACTCTTTTGAAAATCCATTAAGTAAACTCCTTAAAGACACGACAGTAAATCAAACAAAAATATACAAAGCATTAACATAAGCACAGTAAAAATTAAATACAACCAGGCTTACATTCAACAGCAATATCATCTGCCTCACTAAAAAGAGGTTCTGTAGTTCTTCAATAACCACTGTAAGACCAATCAGATAAGCTGATGTTTACCATGTTATGACAGAAATGTCAAAGTGAAAATCTCTTGCCCTGAATCTCTCTCTGCTTTCAGTCCTTGAAAATATTTCAGGACACTTTCTAACCTCTCTGCAAGCAAGTAATATTGCTTAATAAGCTTTCTTGTTAACATACTTAAAACTCACATAACTATATTTACAATCTACGATATTTTTTTGGAAGGGGGGAGTGGAGATAAGCAGGTTCCTCCTTGCAGCTTAGCTGGCCGCTAGGTGACATGTTTGGCAACCAAATTTCAGAATCAAGTCAATCCTCTTTGGCGGTCTCAGTAGCCGAGTTCACGAAACAGACGGGGCCAAAGTATTTCAGGGCACTGCTGACGATAGACCAACCAACCTGTCTTATTGGCAGGAGTTGGAAAGGCAGACCAGTCACTGGAAACAGAGATTCTTCCCACTCAGCTCCTGTAAACCCTCCAAGCCAAAGCCCCAATGGGAATTGTGGTCCTAGCTGGATAAGCAGCAGGAAGCTTGCCACACATTGCTCTTATTGGCAAACTGTGCAATTTTAGCTGGCTAAACACAGCAGTACCCTAACACACACTGTGGATTCCAACCTCTGTCAAACACTCTCCGGAAATTAGGTAAGCAGAGAGAGTCCCTCAGGGAGAGTGTGCTTATTCCATTCCAGACACAGGAAAATTTCCATGAGTAAGCAGCTTACAGATGTGGAACTCAGTCTGGTTTGAATACTCCTAAAGGTGGTGATGATTTTCTGCACATGTCAGACAGCTTGTCTGACACAGATACTCGTCCTCACTTTCAAGGCCATCATGGCCTTGCCCCCTCCTACCTCTCTAACCTGCTGACTCCCTACCAACCTACCCACTCCCTCCATTCAGTGGGCTACAGCCTGCTCTATGTCTCCCGCCCGATCCGCCCTTCCATCGGTGGCCGGGCTTTCAGCCTCTCTGCCCCCACACTCTGGAACTCCATCCCACAGCTCTCTTCCTCCCTTGCCTCCTTCAAGGCCGGTCTCAAGACCCTCCTCTCGATTGTGCCTTTGGTCAATCCTGACCATCTGCGACCAGGGCTCCCTCTGCCTCCTCGTCCTCCTCGACCTATCGGCAGCATTCGATACAGTCGACCACGCTATCCTCCTCCACCGCTTGTCCTCCCACCTCAACCTTCAAGGCCCTGTCCTTGAGTGGTTTAGGTCGTACCTCTCCCACCGTCTTCATTTTGTTTCCACAAACTGCTTTTCCTCCAGCCCCCGCACTGTCTCATGCGGTGTCCCTCAGGGCTCTGTCCTCGGTCCCCACTTCTTCACCCTCTATATGCTCCCCCTTGGTTAACTTCCACATGTATGCGGATGACACCCAACTCTACCTTTCCTCCTCTACCCTCAACTCCATGACCACCGATGTCCTGACAGCCTGCCTGTCCGACATCGAGTCCTGGACGAGAGACAACTTTCTTCAGCTCAACGTGCGTAAAACTGAGGCCCTCCTGATTGGCTCACGTCAGCGCCTCCGCACCTCAGGCGCTGACAGCATCAGCATCCAAGGCTGCACTCTCCACCTCTCAAAGCCAGTCAGGAACCTCGGCGTTCTGTTTGACCCTGAGCTGTCCTTTCTCCCTCATATCCGCTCCACAACTGGCACCGCCTTCCATCACCTCCGGAATATCGCCAGACTACGACACTACCTCACCCCTCACGCTGCTGAAACTCTGGTCCACGCCTTTATCACCTCAAGGCTGGTCTATGGGAACTCTCTCCTTGCCGGCCTTCCCGCCACCTCCCTCCACAAGCTGCAGGTCATTCAGAACTCTGCAGCTCGTGTACTGTCCTGCACCAGGCATCGCAACCACATCACTCCCACCCTCGCTCGCCTCCACTGGCTCCCCATCCCCCAGAGGATCGAATTCAAGATCCTCATCCTCACCTACAAGGCCATTCACGGCCTTGATCCATCCTACCTCTCCGACCTACTATCCCCCTACGTACCTGTCCGTACCCTCCATTCCTCTGGCTCCGGTCTGCTCCACATCCCCCGCCCTAACCGCCCTACCATCGGTGGCCGGGTCTTCAGCCTCTCAGGCCCCAGGCTCTGGAACTCTATCCCCCAATGCCTTCGCCTTGCTTCCTCCCTTTCCTCCTTCAAGGCCGGTCTCAAGACCTTTCGCTTTGACCGTGTCTTCAGCTCCCCTCTCGACTCTCTACCCCCTCCTCGCTCCCTCCCTTCCTTCCCCTCACCCTGACCATTTCCCCCCTGCTCGGGTCCTGACCCAACCGTACAGCGCCTTGGGACGTCCTCCCAACGTGAAAGGCGCTCTATAAATGGAATCTTGTTGTTGTTGTTGTTGGTGGTCACCCTCCCACCTCTCTGCCTTCCCTCACCCCTACCTCACCCCTCCCCCAAGCTCAAGTCCTGACCCCTGACTGTCCAGCGCCTTGGGACATCCCCCTGTGAAAGGCGCTCTATAAATGTAATTTTGCTATTGGTGTTGACCAAAAAAAATCTGTTGTATTTAATTAAATCTAATCTCAGAATTCAAGAACAGGGAAGCCAAGGAGCATTTCAGGTTATGAATAGTTTGGAGAAGCTCAATTCAGATAATAATCTTTGCCCTGTATAAGATCTAAAAACAGGAATTATATACGATAACAAAAGTGAATAGGCATTGCAAGACTTATTTTAAGTAAATGAGTGATAAGATTGTGTAACTGACTCCACTGACTGGAACAAGAAACTAAAGGGCTTCAAAAGGGGACTGGACAAGTTCTGGTTAACTAAACCATTCAGGTTATAAGATTCAGATATCAATCTGCAGCACAGAGCAGAACTATAAAAATTCAAGTAAACAGTTTCTTGGGGAGGGTTGTGAAAAATTGCATAAAATCTATCTCTGAATCTCAATCAATCTCAGTCAATCTCAATCTGCTGAGTCTGTTAAGAGGTCAGTTTATCTTTTGCACATTAACTGCTCTCTAAATGCATCCACACTTGCTAAGGTTAAGAGTTGCACAGATACATGCAAACTTTCCATACTCTCAGCTCCTCCCACCAGATGCCTAAAGCTTGTAATTATACAAATGCAAACATTATAAAACCTTGAAATTACAGCTCTCCTTGGTTCATTAGTTAGAATACAGATAGATGCATACAA